TTTTATATTGGTCGACTTTTTTTTCTCGGGAAAAAAAAAAATAAGAACAAAAATGAAAAACTTCCATACCATGATTTCGTTCCCTGGACGTCCCGTTTTGTTCAAGCGCATGTAACCGCATAATTGAATCCACTATGTCTCTGGGCTCTCGCTTGACATGCTGTTTTAATCTTGGTTGTGATTTTAGTGGGTTAGACCGCTCAGGATATAGTTCAAGACAATAATGTGATTTAATTCGGAGTTCGGATTGCTCCACTAGAAATTACGGAATACGGCGTAACTCTTTTCGTTTTAAGTATATCTACGAGCTTTGCTAATCACCAGTCGTCACTAGATTTCAATGTTGCCATCGTCTGGCAACAATCTATAAGAATTGTCAGCAGCATTTGCCATCATGTTCGCGGCCAAGGGCGAGGGATTGCCGCCACCTTATGAGGTCGAGGCATATGCATATCGCCGACCACTGTTCCACGGACCTTTCCGTCGCGTGTCCTTGAAAAAGACGCTGTCCACTTTGTGCATCCTGTCCTTGGTCTCGTGTGTCTGTTTCATGGCTGGAAGAGCAAGTCGATCCACAGTTGCCACATCTGATGCTTATGCCGCGAGCGCGATTAGAGAATTCGAGGCGTCTCTCGGCCGGTGCGCAACGCGCAACCATGTCCCGCCCGTGGAGTCGCCCGACTCGCGAACTCGCAATCCGAGATGGAATCAGGCGCGCGGCCAGAAGGAGACGATCGCGCTGCGTAATGTGTCCTTGTTCGATGGGGAAACATATTCACCAACGCCAGTGGATATAGTCTTCTCAGAGGGTCTGGTGCTGTCCGTGTCCGTAGCCTCGGCAGCCCAATCGATACTCAAAAGTGGCGTCGAGTATAATCTCAACGGACGTTTTGTGACGCCTGGGTTGGTGGACATGCATTCGCATCACTTGGCCATGGCTTGGCCAGGCTCAGAAGCTTTAAATGACGTGAACGGTATGTTTCTGCAGTACCAACAAAACGCACGCATCGCTGACCACATCCGTACATGTACAGAGATGAATCCTCTCTATGGGCCTCTGACTCCATTCCTCCGAGTGATTGAGTCACTAAAAGCATATGATCCAGCCACCAGAGTGATTGCTTCTGGTGGAATCACATCTAGTCTCATCATTCCGGGGTCCGCAAACATCATTGGTGGAGAGGGAACTGTCGTGAAAAACATTGTCAGGTCTGGAGAGACCGGCGAATACGTAGTGGAAGAAATGCTACTCGAGCACGGCATTCCCAGCCAGGACCGTCACCGCTACATGAAGTTCGCATGCGGAGAGAACCCCAAGCGAGTCTACGGCCATACACGAATGGGCAACGCCTATGTGCTCCGGCATCATCTGACGCGGGCGAAAGAGCTGATGGACAAGCAGGATTCATGGTGCAATATTGCTGCGCAACTTCAGACCAATGCAGCACGAGGCCAATTTGTTGAGCAAAAGGGCGGGTATCCCGAGCAGCTCGAACTAGAGTCAACAATTGCTCTGATCCGTGGACAGGTGGCCATGAACAACCATTGCTACGAGCCAGAGGATCTCGAGACCATGCTCGGTGTGATGAGAGAATTTGGTATCCGGGTCAGGGCATTCCATCATGCCATCGAGGCATGGCAAGTCCCGGAAATGATCAAAGCATACGGCGGGTGAGTACACCCACAACAACAGCAGCCACCTACCGCTTAACTCACGCCAAAAACTCGTAGGAACATTACGATTGCCACCTTTGCCGAGGCCTCCCTCTACAAATACGAGGCATACCACCCGAGTCTGTATGCCGGGGCCATCTTGGACGCTCATGGTTTGCCCGTTGCGTACAAATCCGTACGTACTCCAGGATCGAGCACTGGAATGAATGCATTACTGAACCTGACAGGACCATGCTGAGGAGTCAACCAATGCTAAATATGTCATGTTTGTCTCTCGCCAGATGATGAACTGGGTGGCTGTCCAGGACTGACACAAAACAGGTCACAAGCCGCCGCAGGACACGCATTCCACCTCCCGGCCGAGAAGGCTTTACAGGCCGTGACTTCGATTCCAGCGGCAGCTCTGGATTTGTCCCACCGCATCGGCTATGTTCGTGCAGGTTACGATGCGGATATCGTCGTTGTAAGTATCGCCGTCGACTAATGGAGGTTTACATAGACTAGAAATCATGGTTCATCATGGGTCAAGAAATGCTCGTGAAGAGGCGAATAAGAGTACTAACACGGCTTGCACAGTGGGACGCTCACCCTCTCTCAATCGGTGCCACGCCCCAGCAAGTCTTCATTGACGGTGTGGCAACTCTGGACTCGAAGATGGTGCAGTCGTCCACGGGGTCATCAATGGAGACGGCGACTACCCCCGATACGACCTTGGATGCGCCCGTGATGCGTGTGAGGCAGGCAATAACGACTGCAAACGACTTCTGCGCCCTAGCGAAGCGACACGGCCAAAGTTTTATCGTGCATGGAATCCGAAAGTCATTTCTGGACAATCACCCGCACCATGTCGGCTCCATCTCCACGGCTGGTACCGAGAATATGACTCTCGTTATCGACAATGGGCAAGTAGCATGTCTAGACAGTCGAGAGGCTTGTCACGACGTAATCATGGCCGCTGGAAATGAGAATGCCACCCAACTGACGCTACAGAACGGCCATTTATTGCCTGGCCTCACTGCAGTAACGGACAGCCTTGGTATCAAGGAGATATTCATGGCTGAAGAGACGGGCAACGGCGTTTCCGAAACAGAAAATGTAAAAGACCCCACATCTATTGACTACGCCAAGTATGGTTTGTATCTGGACGGCAAGGCATTTTCTCGGGCACGTCTAGGCGGTGTCACGAGAGCTATCACGCCGCCCGAAGCACCAGCCGGGCTGGTTCAGGGTGTCTCGGCTGCTATTCGAACCTCGGGAACCAAAAGCATTCTAGACGGTGGAGTCATCATGGACGAGGTCGGCCTTCACGTACGCCTTGACCAGAGCAGCAGAGATGTGGGCAGCATCAGCATGGCGATCAAGACGCTCCGGGCTATACTGAGCGACAACCACGGCAAAGGGAACGAGAGTGCATTCGGCCTGGTGGCGGATGGACACCTCCCCTTGATCATAAGTGTGGAGAGCTCAGTAATACCCCCCCTGTCGACACTTTACATTTGGAGAGCTAACCAGATGGACTAGGCACACACTCAACAGATTATATCACTCAAGAAGGACTATCAAGATGTCTACATTGTCATCAACGATGGCCACGGGGCGCCAATTGTGAGTACAATGCAGCCGCATTCCGCGAAATGGAAAAGCGCTTCTGGAATGAGGCGTTCTGACCATGTTGGCTAGGTGGCCGAAGAACTCGCTGCTGCGGGCATTCCCGTGATTCTCAGTGCTACACGCCCCGGCCCGACAAGCTGGGACAGGAGAGACGTCTTCGTCGGACCTCCGCTCACCCGAAGCCCTGCCAGCGTTCTTAGCGAGGCTGGCGTAGAATTTGCCATATCTGTTGCAGCCGAGAGTAAGAGTGAACCCCCCAAGACCTTTAAGGCATGATTTGTACTGACGCTGATACTACTCGTGCAAAGTACCGGTGGGAGACTCACGTATCCACGACCTAGCTTTGGAAGCCTCCTGGGCAGCCAAGTATGCCGGACTCAACGAGCGTGAGGCTATTCAACTCGTTTCGAAGAAAGTCGAGGACATCCTCAGGCTAAAGCCCAGCAAGGACGTGGTCTTGTGGGAGAATAATCCCCTGCAATGGGGCGCATCCGTAGTTCTCTCTTTTGAAGAGACCGAGGGGGGGGAATTGGAGGTGGGCGCTTGTTGGCCTGATGAAAATGTGGAATAGACACTATAGGCATCAGTGAGGGCTGTATTTTGTGTTAGATTCATACATTTCCTTCGGCTTAGACGTAAACAGAAGCAAGGAGAGACCGTAAGTAATTTCAACCACAATGACTACTCGACACGTGCTCCAAAAGATGGTGAATAGATATCCATTCATCTCAACCACCATCGTTTGAGGCCTTGAAGACAATCAGTGTAGTGTAGAGGAAGTTTTCATTTTGCACAATTCGGGCTTTTCGTAAACCAGATGCTTTTTAGTATGTTACAGTCAGGCAGTCCACCTCTCCGCGTTCAAAGTCCAGACGCGATATGGCCATTCGAGTGAAATAATCTCACCATGGCGTTTCGACATGTAGCGTATGGTATCAAATTGATCAAGACACTCAAAATTTATATCACATTCCATGAGACTCAGCTGCAGCATGCGCTGGTGTTTGTGGCGATGTTTGCCGCCGCAGTCCAAATAACATCATTGCTCCGTCATGGGGGGTGCTACAGAGAGTTGCTCGAAGAGAGACTTCAGCGTATTGCAGCAGCCAATTTGATCATGCATTCCCTCAAGAGAGCCGAGCGTCGCAACTGGCCCAGTTAGATGCGGCAAATCGACACAAGTAAAATGTGGCACAATATGACAGCGCAGCTATGCATATAATTATGGCACTCTGCCAGCTCTCTGCACTCGCACCCCGGCATATACCCAACCATGTAAGCGGCTTTGTTGCCACGACATATGTGCATAATAACCCGGCATGATCTTGCTTTCTTTGTGGATATATATGGTGTGGTTATAATTGATAAAGCATGTGGAATGCTGAATGTGAATAGTCGGCGGGGATGCACCCAGCCACATAAATAGCCTGTAACGAGAGAAGAAAGGGACACGGCATGTCTATACTCGTACATACTAGGTAGGTATGTAGTATTGTGCATACATACATACATACATACATACATACATACATACATACATACATACATACATACATACATACAAACATAACATACATAGCTATCGGGAGTTTACAAATTGAGGTCCCGGCTTCTTGGTCCGACCAGGCCAGGTCCGGTTTATTGCGATAGCACAGCCAAGTAAACATACTATATTATTTCCTTCTTCTTCTTTTGGGCCGTCACTAGGAAAAGAGAGGCATAAATCTATATATAATTAGTCTGCCGCCTTGATTAGCCACGTTGGAATTGCATGGACATTAGGCCATGTTTTGAGCCTAACCGTGATGTTCCGTGGGGAGTCGTTTACCAGCGGCGGCTCCTCTCGGATCTACTAATAAAGGATCAACGTTGCGCTAGGCGTTTGGTGTGTTTCGCTCCATGAGCCCTCTTAAAGTCCGTCGACCACCCTGGTAATTTCCTTTGGGGCCATGAATCTTGCCAGTGAATGAATCGTCATGCAGGAGTAATGCAAACGAGAGTTTCCGTTTCTCATTTTTCTTTTTCTTTTTTTACTGTCCTTTTCCTTAACCCCCCCCCCCCCCCCCCCTCCTTGCTCACATTTCCTGTACGCCGACTTGTCGGAATCCTGCGAGCGACCACATGGGTCGTTTTAGGGCTTGCAGGGGGTGGGGGGAAACTTTGGGACGGTTGTCGTGTTTCTTTGGTTGACAGTCCGAGGCCAAGACCTGTAAGCTGAAAATATTTGCAGGCCCCTCACACTTTGCCTTGGGGCAACAAAAGCCTGCTCTGTATCAATAATACTAGTAGAGACAAAGAAAAGCCCTTTTGACCGTCTTGATACATTGGGCGTCCCTGACGGGGTCCAAGGGGAAAAAAAAAAGATGAAAATAGTAAATAAGCACCTGATGAATATAGTGCCACTTACAAAGATGAAGAAGGGCTCCCTACACCACCCAAACCACCAAAGAACCACCCACTTGGATGGTGCCAACACGCAATTTTTAGGATGCCGTCTGCACATTCTGTTCAGCGTCTCAGGCAAAAGAAAGAAAGAAAGAAAGAAAGAAAGAAAAAAGCCACAATGCTAGCGTTACAGCCGGTGACCTTGGCGCCTCTCGGCTCTGCTTCCTTGTCGACATCTGATTCGACCCGGCGGGTAAACGAATCGTCCAAGGATGGTTGGATGGAAACACGACGGAACGAGCGGTTACTGGGATTGGGTGAATGGATGACCCCCTTCCCCCCTCCCAACTCCCCTCCTAAATGCTAGGACAAATCTCGTTCCTGGCGTTCCTGGATCGTCCGGAATCCTAGGGCGTTCCGGAAGGCGGGATGGCTGTTTAATTCTTCTGGGATGCAAATCCACCTGTATCTGTCTATCTATCTATCTACCTACATTAAGGTATGTACCTAGTCTAGCTCAGGAACAAGAATTCGATCCCTGGTCTCTCTCCCCGTCTCTCCCCCTCCCCCATCTTTAATCAAACCACATTTGCTTCTTTCGTCCAGTTCAGCAGAGTAGCATAACTTTTTTGGTGCCTCGGAGTTTTTCATGTAATGACCAACAGTTAGTCTGTTGAACAATCAAGAAATGTGTATGGTTTATCCAGCCACCCCAAGGTATGCATCTGACCAGGCGCCCGAGATATGCATACAAAGATTCACTGTGTAACGTATGCATTCAGGTTCGAACAATACATACTACAATGTCCAGCGGCGCGGTACTGGTGCGCGCCAAAAAAAAAAAAAAAAAAAAAAACCAAACAAAAAAACCATTTGTCAGGCACGAATAACATTGAAAAATGCCCCCAATCCGCAAGTGAATTAATTTGTACTCGGAATCAAGGGAGACTGGCAGCCCAAGAGTCGAGTGCCGGGCCACACCAACTAAACTCGACCAAGGCCTACACATCCTCTTTATTTGTTTTTTTTTTATCCCTCACTCACCCTCTCTTTGCTTCAAGAGTTGTGTGTGCTAATGTGTGTGTGTGTGTGTGTGTGTGTGACGAGCGCGAGCATGGGGGTTGCATTGCATGTGTGTGGCTATATCTAGGCCAGTAGTAGTGTACACTCCTTACCTACACTAGGTAAGGTGGGTGATGCTTGTCCAAGGGGGCTTACATTCCAAGTATTGTCCTGCCCTGTTATCAACTCTGTACACTACATACACAAGCAAGCTGCTGTTGTACTTCGTGCACATCCAACCATACCCAGTTTGCATATGTGTAGGTTCGTATTACCCTGACGTATGGTCCTGATTGCTCCTCAGCTCCACAGTATAAGCTGAAGTTGACAGGGATCGATATAGTTATGTGGACCTACATGGTATACCTGATGGTTCTAGGCTCGAGAGATCAGCTTGGACCGCGGGCGCTTCGACAATGAAGGGAAAACCCTCGTTTGTACATATTGCCGCTCAGTGCCCATCTCCTGCTCGCCTTGTTCACCACTCCTTGTTGTCTCCTCTTGTTGCTATACAATCCTTCTCCCGGTTGAGTCCGTCCCATCTTTGTTTGCTTGCTTCATTCATTTCTCGCCTTGACAGGTCTCGTGGGCTTGACACTCTTGTCATTCAACTCCTCCAATCGTCATTCCCTGATTGCTCACGCTCCGAGTCAAAAAAAAAATATCAAACTGGTGTTTTGATTTCACCCATATACACAACTCTCTCTCTCTC